AAGCAAATTGGCAGAGTTTCAGGAAACTCCTGGAACAAGATATTAAACCTTCATATGCAAGAATAAATACATTTTTCAAAAGTTTATTTTGAAATTTTCAAATGTGTAACAAATCACCAAAGATATGGAGTTTCCAATCCAACTCTGCATATGTGGAAGGCTCAGTTGGAGGAAAGAAGCTACCAAGAACAGGTTCAAACATGATTGTGAGTCGCATGGCCAGACCATTCATTATATACGAGGCATGAGAACAGATACACTGCATCTTGTGGCCATCTTACCAAGCCAAGAGTCCTAACACCTACTTTTTAATCAATAAGTTATCACAAGTTTATTACAGGTTTAGATTGAAGTGGCACAGCACAACTAACAGTAGCAATAGTAACACATTACAATATTCGAGTTTATTATTTTGTGAACTGTACCGATTCCTATATTCTAACAAGAGATGGATTGTAAGATTGGCACTGCCGGCTGACTCGGTTGGTAGGACTCTCACCTCGGGTGAGAAGGTTGTGGGTCCAAACCCCACCGTTGGACTTGGAACTCGTTATAGTCGAAACTGACACTCCAATGGAGTGCTGAGAGTGTACTGCAGTGTCAGAAGTCTTTTGGGTGAGATGTTAATCCATCTACTTGTTTATCAACGATCCCACGGCATTATTCAAAAAGACAAGGGAGTTTCTACCATGTCCTTGCCAACAACACCCAAATAAAAGAAAGTCATTCACTTCATGGCTATTTGTGGGATAACTGGCTGTCACGCTTGCCCACAAAACACAGCTGCTACATCCTCCTGAGGTGAAAGACTCTATTACAATGCAAAGATTATTATTTTGATAAAACTACCTGCCAAATTCTGTTGACTCAATCAGTTGGGCAAGCAAGCTTTTTTGGTACCCAAAGCCCACTTAAGACTTGCCTCTTTGACTGCAGTTTCGGTCATCTGCCCCCATTCCCACTCCACATATTGTTTCACAAACAAAACATTCAAATCCCTCCATGGCCTCACCCCATCCTACCTCTGCGACTCCCTGCACCCTACTGACCCACCTGCTCCCTTTGCTCAATGAACATTGCTTTGTGTCCCCCACCCCATCTGGCCCACATCGACGGCCGTGCTTTCCATCATTTTGCTTTACTCTCTGGAACTCCATCCAAGAGCCCCTCCAATTCGCCACTTCACTCCCTACTTTCAAAACCCATCTTAAGCCTCTTTGACCACACTTTCGGTCATCTGCCCCCATTTCCAATCCACATGCACCCTCTTCAGCTCCCAATCTGCTGTGTAAAGTGTTTTGAGAATCCCCCCAATGTGAAAGCACTATTGTAATATGAACTATTGCAACAACAACTTGCATTTATATAGTGCCCCTCACGCAGGGTAGCGACCCAGAGCACTTAAAGATGATGCAGTAGAATTTTGTACTTAAGTGACAAAACAAACATTACACAACGGTTACTATAGTCCACCCGTAGGAAATCCTACGCAACACTATGATTGATCGGAAATGATTAAATGATTTGCATTGGAGGATTTCATCAGATTAAATCCCACAAGCATTTTCGAAGAAGATTAACATGAATTACTGGCCTGTTCGGGCTACAGCACGAGAGAACCCGAAAGCCATGAACTATGCCTTAGACAACCTTAACTGAGGAATTACTTATGGTATCACAATTGCCGTTAATGGTAATGGGAGAGGGGCAGGGAGGGGGAAGATGTAAACTTCTTCTAACTATTACAAGAAAGAGAGGGTTATAAGAATGGGCAGAATTAGAATTGGCTGTTATAATAATAATAATAATAATAATAATAATCCTTGCATTTGATATAGCGCTTTTCACGTCGGGAGGACGTCCCAAAGCGCTTCACAGAATAGACTGTAAAGTGAATTGACTGTATATTTGTGGGCGAACGCGGCAGCCAATTGCGCACAGCAATGTCCCACAAACAGTCGTAGATTGAAAATGACCAATTTATTATTGTTTTTTGTTTTGGAGGGATTATTATTAGGCGTGTGGAGTAAGGAAACTTGCCCAAGGTTTCGCCCTGACCTGCCTGGAATTGAACTCAGATCTCTCGCTTGCAAAGCGAGAGCTCTAACCACTGAGCTACAGGACTCCACGATGCACTTCATTATGCACTTCATTCTAACACATGAGTCAAAACAGTGTGGACCCTTCCACGAGCAAACAAGTACATTTGAGAGGTAAAAAAGAATGTGAATCTATGATTTTGCACAATAAACATTTTGCAAGAGGGAAGAAACAAGAAGAAAGGGCAGTAGGATTCAATAATATTTTTACAGAAACAAACATTTCAAGGCTCATTTCACAATGCTCTGCTCAAACTTTACTCAGTTTCTGACATTTCCAACACCCTTGATGCATTATAGCATGTTACACTCTGAACTGCAACATCCCACACAGGGAAGTCATCAGGACTGTGAGTTCATGGTCAAGGCTAACACTACAATTGCAGAGGGGCTCTCCTTCAGATGAAACATTAAAAACTAAGGTCCAGACTGCCTGTTCAGGTGGTCTAGTTATGATCTCACGGCACAATTCGAAAGAGAAGCGAGTTTCTCCCAGCGTCCTGACCAACAATCAGATAACAGTCAACACTTTTGTCACAGTCTCCGGCCTGTGTGTGTGTGTGTGTGTGCGCGTCTCCGGCCTCTGTGTGTGTATGTGTGTGTGTTTTCGGCCTGTGTGTATGTGTGTGTCGCTGGTCTGTGTCTGTGTGTGTCTGGCCTGCGTGTGTGCATGTTTCTCTGGCCTGTGTTTGTGTGTCTCCGGCCTGTGTGTGTGTGTGTGTGTGTATGTGTGTCTGGCCTGTGTGTGTATGTGTGTGTCTGACCTGTGTGTGTATCTGGCCTGTGTGTGTGTGTGTGTGTAACTAGCCTGTCTGTGAATGTGTCTAGCCTGTGAGTGTGTGTCTGGCCTGTGTATGCGTTCCTGGCCTGTGTGTGTGTGTGGGGGGGGGGGGGGGCTGTGTGTGTGGGGGGGCGCTGTGTGTGTGGGGGGGCGCTGTGTGTGGGGGGGCGCTGTGCGTGTAGAGGCGGGGGGCTGTGCGTGTAGAAGCAGGGGGCTGTGCGTGTAGAAGCAGGGGGCTGTGCGTGTAGAGGCGGGGGGCTGTGTGTGGGGGGGCTGTGTGTGTGTATGGGGGGCTGTGGGGCTGTGTGTGTGTACGGGGGGCTGTGTGTGGGGGGGCTGTGTGTGGGGGGCTGTGTGTGTGTATGGGGGGCTGTGGGGCTGTGTGTGTGTACGGGGGTCTGTGTGTGGGGGGGCTGTGTGTGTGGGGGGGCTGTGGGCTGTGTGTGTGGCGGGGGCTGTGGGGCTGTGTGTGTGTATGGGGGGCTGTGTGTGGTGGGGGCTGTGGGGCTGTGTGTGTATGTGGGGCTGTGTGTGTATGGGAGGCTGTGGGGCTGCGTGTGTGGGGGGGGATGTGGGGCTGTGTGTGTGTGTGAGGGCTGTGTGTGGGGGGGCTGTGGGCTGTGTGTGTGGGGGGGGCTGTGGGGCTGTGTGTGTATGGGGCCTGTGGGGCTGCGTGTATGTGGGGCTGTGTGTGTGTGTGAGGGCTGTGTGTGGGGGGGGCTGTGGGGCTGTGTGTGTGGGGGGCTGTGGGCTGTGTGTGTGGCGGGGGCTGTGGGGCTGTGTGTGTGTATGGGGGGCTGTGTGTGGTGGGGGCTGTGGGGCTGTGTGTGTGTATGTGGGGCTGTGTGTGTGGGGGGCTGTGTGTGGGCTGTGTGTATGTGGGGCTGTGTGTGTGTGAGGGCTGTGTGTGGGGGGGGCTGTTAGGCTGTGTGTGTGGGGGGGCTGTGTGGGGGGGGGCTGTGTGTGTGTGGGGGGCTGTGTGTGTGGGGGGGGCTGTGGGGCTGTGTGTGTGTATGGGGGCTGTGTGTGTATGGGGGGCTGTGGGGCTGTGTGTATGTGGGGCTGTGTGTGTGTGTGAGGGCTGTGTGTGGGGGGGCTGTTAGGCTGTGTGTGTGTGGGGGGGGCTGTGTGTGTTGGGGGGGCTGTGTGTGTGTATGTGGGGCTGTGTGTGTATGGGGGGCTGTGGGGCTGTGTGTGTATGGGAGGCTGTGGGGCTGTGTGTGTGGGGGGGCTGTGTGGAGGGGGGCTGTGGGGCTGTGTGTGGGGTGGCTGTGTGTGGGGGGCTGTGTGTGGGGTGTTTGTGTGTGTGGGGTGTGTGTGTGTGGGGGGGGCTGTGTGTGGGGGGGCTGTGTGTGGGGGGGGCTGTATGTGGGGGGGGGTGTGGGGTGTGTGTGTGGGGGGGCTGTGTGGGGGGGCTGTGTGTGGGGTGTTTGTGTGTGGGGGGGGGCTGTGTGTGGGGGGCTGTGTGTGGGGGGGCTGTATGTGGGGGGGTGTGTGGGTGTGTGTGTGGGGGGGCTGTGTGGGGGGCTGTGTGTGGGTGGTTTGTGTGTGTGGGGTGTGTGTGTGGGGGGGGGCTGTGTGGGGGGCTGTGTGTGGGGGGTGTGTGTGGGGGGGTGTGTGTGTGTGTGTGGGGGGGGGGGCGCTGTGTGGGTGGGGGGGGGGTTGGGGGGGTTGGGCGTGTATGAGGGCTGTGTGTGTGTGTGTATGAGGGTTGGGGGGTTGGGGCTGTGTATGAGGGCTGTGTGTGTGTGTGTATGAGGGGTTGGGGGGTTGGGGCTGTGTATGAGGGCTGTGTGTGTGTGTGTATGAGGGTTGGGGGGTTGGGGCTGTGTATGAGGGCTGTGTGTGTGTGTGTATGAGGGTTGGGGGGGTTGGGGCTGTGTATGAGGTGTGTGTGTGTGTGTATGAGGGGTTGGGGGGTTGGGGCTGTGTATGAGGCTGTGTGTGTGTGTGTATGAGGGGTTGGGGGGGTTGGGGCTGTGTATGAGGGCTGTGTGTATGTATCTGTGTGTGTGTGGGGGGGGGTTGGGGGTGGGGCTGTGTGTGTGTGTGTATGAGGGGCTGTGTATGAGGGCTGTGTGTATGTGTGTGTATGAGGGGTTGGGGACTGTATCTCTCACCTTCCCCGCGAAGCTGCGATGTTCACAGTCGTTCTCGCGCATCAGGTCCATGAACTCCGGGTCTGACCGCGAGCGCTCTCACTCCTCCATCCCGGGGGTCCGCGCCTCTCCGAGTGTGTGTTCGGGGGCCGCGGGCCGGGGGGCCGGGGGCCTGGCGGGCCGGGGGGGCGGGGGGGGCCTGGCGGGGCCTGGCGGGGCCGGGGGGGCCTGGCGGGCTGGCGGGGGGGGGGGAGGCCGGGGGGGGGGAGAGCACAGTGCGGGGCCCCGGACTGGCGGAGCCGCTTCCCGGGAGAGGCCGACCGTCCACACCGCCGCCTCACCCCCACTCCCCGGCTCGCATCCGCCGCCCACACCCCGCCCCCGGCACGGCAGGCGGACACACCGGCCACACCCGCCCCCCGGGACTCTGCCCGGGCCGACACCCGAGCTCGGGAAGGCCCGGCCGGCGCCGCGCCAGCCTCGGCCGAAGGCCCGCACTCATTTCTGTCGGCGGAAGCGCACGGACCCGGGAGCCGACAGCTGCGGTGAGGCGGTCCACCTCCCACAATCCATCGCGCGGTTGGCAACAAACCCCAGAAACAGACTCACAGCGAAACACAGTGCACACACTGTGTGTACTATACACACCACAGCACTGTGTGTACCACACACACCACAGCACTGTGTGTACCATACACACCACAGCACTGTGTGTACTATACACACCACAGGCACTGTGTGTACTATACACACCACAGGCACTGTGTGTACTATACACACCACAGGCACTGTGTGTACCACACACACCACAGCACTGTGTGTACCATACACACCACAGCACTGTGTGTACTATACACACCACAGCACTGTGTGTACTATACACACCACAGGCACTGTGTGTACTGTACACACCAAGGCACTGTGTGTACTATACACACCACAGCACTGTGTGTACTATACACACCACAGGCACTGTGTGTACTATACACACCACAGCACTGTGTGTACTATACACACCACAGGCACTGTGTGTACTATACACACCACAGCACTGTGTGTACTATATACACCACAGCACTGTGTGTACTATACACACCACAGCACTGTGTGTACTATACACACCACAGCACTGTGTGTACCATACACACCACAGCACTGTGTGTACTATACACACCACAGCACTGTGTGTACTATACACACCACAGGCACTGTGTGTACTATACACACCACAGGCACTGTGTGTACTATACACACCAGCACTGTGTGTACTATACAACACACCGGCACTGTGTGTACTTACACACCACACAACTGTGTGTACTATACACACCACAGGCACTGTGTGTACTATACACACCACAGGCACTGTGTGTACTATATACACCACAGGCACTGTGTGTACTATACACACCACAGGCACTGTGTGTACTATACACACCACAGGCACTGTGTGTACCACACACACCACAGCACTGTGTGTACTATACACACCACAGCACTGTGTGTACTATACACACCACAGGCACTGTGTGTACTATACACACCACAGCACTGTGTGTACTATACACACCACAGCACTGTGTGTACCACACACACCACAGCACTGTGTGTACTATACACACCACAGCACTGTGTGTACTATACACACCACAGGCACTGTGTGTACTATACACACCACAGCACTGTGTGTACCACACACACCACAGCACTGTGTGTACTATACACACCACAGCACTGTGTGTACTATACACACCACAGGCACTGTGTGTACTATACACACCACAGCACTGTGTGTACTATACACACCACAGCACTGTGTGTACTATACACACCACAGGCACTGTGTGTACTATACACACCACAGCACTGTGTGTACTATACACACCACAGCACTGTGTGTACTATACACACCACAGGCACTGTGTGTACTATACACACCACAGGCACTGTGTGTACTATACACACCTCAGGCACTGTGTGTACCACACAACCACAGCACTGTGTGTACTATACACACCACAGCACTGTGTGTACTATACACACCACAGGCACTGTGTGTACTATACACACCACAGGCACTGTGTGTACCACACACACCACAGCACTGTGTGTACTATACACACCACAGCACTGTGTGTACTATACACACCACAGCACTGTGTGTACTATACACACCACAGCACTGTGTGTACTATACACACCACAGCACTGTGTGTACTATACACACCACAGGCACTGTGTGTACTATACACACCACAGGCACTGTGTGTACCACACACACCACAGGCACTGTGTGTACTATACACACCACAGCACTGTGTGTACTATACACACCACAGGCACTGTGTGTACTATACACACCACAGGCACTGTGTGTACCACACACACCACAGCACTGTGTGTACTATACACACCACAGGCACTGTGTGTACTATACACACCACAGCACTGTGTGTACCACACACACCACAGCACTGTGTGTACTATACACACCACAGCACTGTGTGTACCACACACACCACAGCACTGTGTGTACCACACACACCACAGCACTGTGTGTACTATACACACCACAGCACTGTGTGTACTATACACACCACAGCACTGTGTGTACTATACACACACAGGCACTGTGTGTACCACACACACCACAGCACTGTGTGTACTATACACACCACAGGCACTGTGTGTACTATACACACCACAGCACTGTGTGTACTATACACACCACAGCACTGTGTGTACTATACACACCACAGCACTGTGTGTACTATACACACCACAGGCACTGTGTGTACCACACACACCACAGCACTGTGTGTACTATACACACCACAGGCACTGTGTGTACTATACACCCACAGGCACTGTGTGTACCACACACACCACAGCACTGTGTGTACTATACACACCACAGGCACTGTGTGTACTATACACACCACAGCACTGTGTGTACTATACACACCACAGGCACTGTGTGTACCACCACACCACAGGCACTGTGTGTACTATACACACCACAGGCACTGTGTGTACATACACACCACAGCACTGTGTGTACTATACACACCACAGGCACTGTGTGTACCACACACACCACAGCACTGTGTGTACTATACACACCACAGGCACTGTGTGTACCACACACACCACAACACTGTGTGTACTATACACACCACAGGCACTGTGTGTACCATACACACCACAGCACTGTGTGTACTATACACACCACAGGCACTGTGTGTACCATACACACCACAGCACTGTGTGTACATAACACACCACAGCACTGTGTGTACTATACACACCACAGCACTGTGTGTACTATATACACCACAGGCACTGTGTGTACTATATACACCACAGCACTGTGTGTACTATAACACCACAGGCACTGTGTGTACCATACACACCACAGCACTGTGTGTACTATACACACCACAGGCACTGTGTGTACATACACCACACAGCACTGTGTGTACTATACACACCACAGGCACTGTGTGTACCACACACACCACAGCACTGTGTGTACTATACACACCACAGGCACTGTGTGTACCATACACACCACAGCACTGTGTGTACTATACACACCACAGGCACTGTGTGTACCACACACACCACAGCACTGTGTGTACTATACACACCACAGCACTGTGTGTACTATATACACCACAGGCACTGTGTGTACTATACACCACAGCACTGTGTGTACTATACACACCACAGGCACTGTGTGTACCATACACACCACAGCACTGTGTGTACTATAAACACCACAGGCACTGTGTGTACTATACACACCACAGCACTGTGTGTACTATATACACCACAGGCACTGTGTGTACTATACACACTACAGGCACTGTGTGTACTATACACACCACAGGCACTGTGTGTACTATACACACCACAGCACTGTGTGTACTATACACACCACAGGCACTGTGTGTACCATACACACCACAGGCACTGTGTGTACTATACACACCACAGGCACTGTGTGTACTATACACACCACAGCACTGTGTGTACTATACACACCACAGGCACTGTGTGTACACACACACCACAGCACTGTGTGTACTATACACACCACAGGCACTGTGTGTACTATACACACCACAGCACTGTGTGTACTATACACACCACAGCACTGTGTGTACTATACACACCACAGGCACTGTGTGTACCACACACACCACAGCACTGTGTGTACCACACACACCACAGCACTGTGTGTACTATACACACCAAGCACTGTGTGTACTATACACACCACAGCACTGTGTGTACTATACACACCACAGGCACTGTGTGTACCACACACACCACAGGCACTGTGTGTACTATACACACCACAGCACTGTGTGTACTATACACACCACAGGCACTGTGTGTACCACACACACCACAGCACTGTGTGTACCACACACACCACAGCACTGTGTGTACCACACACCACAGCACTGTGTGTACTATACACACCACAGGCACTGTGTGTACCACACACACCACAGCACTGTGTGTACTATACACACCACAGGCACTGTGTGTACCATACACACCACAGCACTGTGTGTACTATACACACCACAGGCACTGTGTGTACCACACACACCACAGCACTGTGTGTACTATACACACCACAGGCACTGTGTGTACCACACACACCACAACACTGTGTGTACTATACACACCACAGGCACTGTGTGTACTATACACACCACAGCACTGTGTGTACTATACACACCACAGGCACTGTGTGTACCATACACACCACAGCACTGTGTGTACCATACACACCACAGCACTGTGTGTACTATACACACCACAGCACTGTGTGTACTATATACACCACAGGCACTGTGTGTACTATATACACCACAGCACTGTGTGTACTATATACACCACAGGCACTGTGTGTACCATACACACCACAGCACTGTGTGTACCATACACACCACAGGCACTGTGTGTACCATACACACCACAGCACTGTGTGTACTATACACACCACAGGCACTGTGTGTACCATACACACCACAGGCACTGTGTGTACCATACACACCACAGGCACCGTGTGTACCATACACACCACAGTCACTGTGTGTACTATACCACCCACAGGCACTGTGTGTACCACACA